CCGCTGAACTGCAGATAACAGTCAGCTAAAGTGGCCTGCAGTACTGCACCCTAACCACTGCGCCACCTCAGCTCTTATGATATCTCCCAAACGCAACGCTTGTACAAGACAACACTTGGCAAGGAGTCTCTGAGAGTCACAAGGAAATCTTCACGCTAATGAATTGAACTAATTGTCTCCTGCAAACTCCACTCCCCTTTCGCTCCTCTTTATACCCTATGGGAGGGGCCATTCACCATCCACCTGTGCCTTTGTTCCTTAATTGTTCCCTTCTCTGCGCACACTGGGAACAGGCTCCAGCTGTTCTTCTGCCTCACTGATGTCTGCCTCTGAAGGCAACTGATAACTGTCAGACGGCCCTAGCCCCCTCTCTGCCTCCGACACAGAGCCCTCCTCAGAGCCTTCCCCAGACTCCAGGACTGGCCCAGGTTCCTCCCCAACCTCCCCACTGTCCGAATCTGCTGCCAACTCTTCTAGCTGCTGGTGGGCCACAACAGTGATTGGATTTAGTTTTTTGTTAGTGTCCAATGCAACTGCTCTTCAACTTCTCACTCCCCCCCCCCTTTCCTTTTTCAGGGGCAAATGGACAAACGGAGGATGTGCCGAGACCCCCCCGTAGAAAAAAGAGGTCCCTACATTATGAACAAACCATCTTCTATTCAGGATAAGCTACGTAAGTAAAAGAACACATGGCTTTTCTCCACCTCTTTATAGTGCTGTTTATAGGTAATCCTCAACTTTAACGACTGTAATGGGAGCCTGCCCGTTTTAAGGTCATTAGTTAGGACGGTCCTAAAGTGGATCAACCTCTATAACCGTTAAGCGAACCAATTATTCACAATGCTTAACAATGTTGTGCCCAGAAACAAAAGGATGGTTTTGGGCCGATACGTGAGATGCTACAAACAGTTGGGTTATTTACAGAAGGTCAAGGAGCACCGAGTAAACAGTTGCTGAATTTCTCTTCGTGTTTTTTTTTGGTGTCGCAGAAAAACATCGCGAGATGGCGAAGGCAATGCTGCGGAAGAAGGGGGTGCTTTCAGGAGCCGTCCGGCAACAGCCCAAACCGGGAGCGGTGAGGTCAGCGCTCTTGTCGAATGGCGGTGATAATTCTGGTTTTTCAGGATCGGCCAGGGATGCAGGGAGGAAATCGGCAACTCGCAAAGGGCAGTTTTAGAAACGGGGGGGGGGGAGGGGGAGCAAATCACTTTTTATTGAGGACTAGATGCCGAGGTGGCACAGTGGTTAAATGCAGCACTGCAGGCTACTTCAGCTGACTGCAGTTCGGCTGTTCAAA